AAAAATTAGGTTTCGATACCCGTTGTGGGCAGTGCACAGACAGCCCATTGTGTAGCTTTGCGCTAAAACAACAAACAAACAAAAAACTTGCTGCACATGCAGTTGGCCCCCTTAGTGGCACAGCGGTATGTCTTCGGACTTACAACGCTAAAAATTAGGTTTCGATACCCGTTGTGGGCAGTGCACAGATAGCCCATTGTGTAGCTTTGTGCTTAATTATAAACAAAGAAACACATGCAGTTAATATAATAACAGTTTTTTAAAAGTTACATCACAATTTGCTAAACTTTTGTGCGTTTATACACACATACATATATATATATATATGATCAAAGTCGTATGTTTTATCTTTATCTCTCAGAATGAGAACCTTTATATACATTTTTTGTTTGTTTCGGATATTCGTACAAAGATACGCCAGAGTTATATGGACTTGCCGTTGTTAAATTTGAACCAATAGACTAGAGGGAAGGCAATTTGTCAACAGCACCAATCACCGACGTTTGAGCCACTCTAATTGAATAATGAGATCTAACCGTTACTCTTATAAAGCCCTCGGAGATCAGAGCGTGATTTAACAGCAACAGGAAGCGAACCACGGACTCTTGGACTTATATTCCGGCACGTTAATTCTAGGCCACACCAGGCCATGTTTATCAGCCAGACTGTACATTTTGCTGTCTGAAAATATTAGGCCTTTCTATGTGTTTGCACATTAGTGTTATCGTGTACTTTGTCTTTTTTTTCTGTTAAAATATGCTAGTCCTTTCCACACGCACTTGCGAGTAAAGTCACTTGTTTTGCTTATTACTCTCAAAACACTGTAACCGGTACTATGTAGACGTACACACACAAACATGCGTGTTTCTTTACGAGTATAGCCATATGTCTTGTCTTTTTCTATCAGAACACGGGAAGATGTCCTTATCTATGTTTTATGTTACGATATCTCAAACGATGTCACACCTGGAACTACGGGAAGATGTCCTTATCTATGTTTTATGTTAGGATATCTCAAACGTTGTCACATCTGGAACTACGGGAAGATGTCCTTATCTATGTTTTATGTTAGGATATCTCAAGCGTTGTCACATCTGGAACTACGGGAAGATGTCCTTATCTATGTTTTATGTTAGGATATCTCAAAAGATGTCACACCTGGAACTACGAGAAGATGTCCTTATCTATGTTTTATGTTAGGATATCTCAAACGTTGTCACATCTGGAACTACGGGAAGATGTCTTTATCTATGTTTTATGTTAGGATATCTCAAAAGAGGTCACATCTGGAACTACGGGAAGATGTCCTTATCTATGTTTTATGTTACGATATCTCAAAAGATGTCACACCTGGAACTACGGGAAGATGTCCTTATCTATGTTTTATGTTAGGATATCTCAAAAGAGGTCACACCTGGAACTACGGGAAGATGTCCTTATCTATGTTTTATGTTAGGAGATCTCAAAAGATGTCACACCTGGAACTACGAAAAGGTGTCCTTATCTATGTTTTATGTTAGGATATCTCAAACTATGTCACACCTGGAACTGCAATGCCTTAGCCGTGTGTAACTTTGTGGTAGAAAGTGTACAGCAGTACGGTACAAATGTTTGTCTAGCACTGTCAGACAGTTTAATTCCCAAACTATCGATACGCTGCTCACACAGTGGAAGTCAAGACTGGGACATTAACAAATTAGAAATATCGTTTTTGTTTGGAATCAGAAAACTTATGTAAATCTGACTGATATACGAGTTAATGGTGGAAGTAATGCTGCAGCCAATATGTCGTGGACTAATTAATTACAACTCGTGTTATGTTACCATAGGAACATACGTGACATACAAAAATTAGGCAAGGCTGGAAACTGATCCCAACAGGAGGCTCTTCTAACAACATTATTATAGAAAAGAATGTGACACTGGAATGCCTGACGATAACATACGCACCCACTCGTATTTTAACTTTCTTCCTACGCATTTACAACCATATACTACAGTGTGCGTGTTTGTGTTATTTTTTTAAAGGTAAGACTTATAAAATAATAAAAAAAACTCTTGGCTACGGTTCAACGTACAGTTTTTATAACCTGTGCTACAGTTCTTGGCTTTTACATTAACTAGCTTGTTGCTACTTTGCTGCTGTTGTTGGGTTTGGAACGTACTGTGTCAGAAGGGTGGGGCGGTGGGGGACTATGTACTGTAATCTATCCACAAGAATGTTCAGCTTCTTTTGCTCTAATTTGAAACTTTTTCGTTCTGTAATTAATTCCCTGCAGTATAAAGCTTCGCTGTATTGTCGATCCAAAGTGTAATTAATCTAAAGGAACGCCAGGCGTCTCCACTTTGAAGACACACGTCGCCTCCAAAACGCTCGTAGGTCTAAGGTTGACTTAATTTTTCCTTTCGGTGCACCGAGAGACACCGTCTGGGCAACAGTGCAGAGTAATAAGAATAAACTGAGCCCCGCACCGTGCCCCTGATGTGGCAAAACAAAAGAAACCAAAGTAAAGCTCGTCAACGTTTTCTTTCCCGTCCAAAACGTCAGTGTACTCATGCAAAATGAAGTTCTGCCTTTCCTTCCAATTAAAATAGTTTTTCTTGCCAAAGTATCCATTTCACTGTTTTCCACTCGGCTTCCCAGCTTTTGATGATGCACATACACTATAGAAGTTTGTTAAGTTTTACCCTTCCTTTGTTCCACGTATAACTCATTTGTATAAAAAGGCTACACACAATGCGAGAGTAGCTGGATCTGGCGAAAAAAAAATCTAATAACGCTATAATTTCCGTTTTCTAAGCCTAACTTCACCGTACATCTCTAAAACTATAATGCACCTGTAGCTGGATCTGGCGAAAAAAAAATCAAATATCGCTTTTAAAACAAAATAATTTCCGTTTTCTAAGCCTAACTTCATCATAAATTCCTGAAACCAAATATCACTTTTTAAAACACAGTAGTTTCTGTTTTCCAAGCCTAACTTCACTGTAAATTTTTTAAAACTACAATGCAAGTGTAGGTGCATATGGCGAAAAAAAAATCAAATATCGCTTTTAAAACAAAATAATTTCCGTTTTCTAAGCCTAACTTCATCATAAATTCCTGAAACCAAATATCACTTTTAAAACACAGTAGTTTCTGTTTTCCAAGCCTAACTTCACTGTAAATTTTTTAAAACCACAATGCAAGTGTAGGTGGATCTGGCGGAACAAAAATAATTTTTCACTCTTAAAACAGAATAGTTTCCGTTTTCTAAGCAAAACTTCGCTCTAAGTCTCTAAAATAGAAAAATTAGATATCACTTTTAAAACACAATAGTTTCATTTTTCTAAACCTATTGAACCGTAAATTCCTATATCTAATATTTACTTATAAAAAAAATTAAAAGTTACATATAAAAACTCAACAATGATAAAAAACACGTTTCGTTGAAGCTGTTTGTTTTTGAATTTCGCGCAAAGCTACACGAGGGCTATCTGCGCTAGCCGTCCCTATTTTAGCAGTGTAAGACTAGAGGGAGGGCAGCTAGTAATCCCCACCCACCGCCAACTCTTGGGCTACTCTTTTACCAACGAATAGTGGGATTGACCGTCACATTATAACGCCCCCACGGCTGAAAGGGCGAGCATGTTTGGTGTCAAAACGTTATTTTTCTTCTAATGTTTTTTTTTTTTCGTAAAAGTAAAAACTATGATTAACAACAGTAAATTTGTGCAGAAAACTATGTCACATTATTAAGAAGTTCAATTTAGTATTTGAAATAAAAATATAGTTAAAATGATGTTCTTGAGAAGAGGTGGTAATAAAAAAGTATATGCTTAAAATATAAATTAGGGCTGATATGAATAATTATGTTTC